ACTCTAATTACCACTCTAGGTAAAGTACAGTGAGAAGACTCACCTCGGGTAACTTGGTAAACCTCGAACTCTGAAATACTGCACTAGCCTTCGCCTAATCACACAATCAATTACTCTAATTAATACAACTTCTAAAGGCTAGGCCAACCCCTCTCTATAAGTTCTCTAAGAAGGGTAAAAGACCATTCTACCCCTCTAATGGCTCATAAGTCCAAACACTGACTAAACCCTAAAAGTCAACTAAAGTCAACGGTCAACATTGACCGGACTCGCCGAGTGCACTAGAGTGACTCGGCGAGTACATGCCTATCCTCTTCGCCCCTGGTCCTCACTTGACTCGCTGAGTCAACCCTATACTCCACGGGTTGTCACAGGTCGCGAGTTGCGGGGAAACCCGACTCGACTCGTCGAGTCCCTTATGGGCTCGGCGAGTTCCTCCCATGAAAACTCTCAAAAGATCTCTTGAGGTCAGATCTGCTTCACCAACCAGTAGATCCAACCTTCTAACACTCGAAAGTCACGTAAAGGTTCAAACTTTACGTTCATGCAATGCTTATAAGACCAAAAATGAAGAAATAACCATTTAAATGGGGTTTTACTCTCAAGGCTCACATGAAAGCTCATAAAGCTGGAAGCTTGGGACCTTTTGGACCTCTCAAGGTCCAGATCTATCATCTATACCCAAAGGGACCTCATATGCTTCACAATCTAACTCAAAATTGTGCAAAGGAAACCCTAGATTCAAGGAATCTATCAAAAACACGAAATGGGAAGGAACTTGTACCTCAAAACGTGAATCTCAGTGTGAACAACACATATCCAAGCTCCTCAATCAGCCTAGCTTGTTCTACCTTCTTCCTTCTTGCTAAATCACATAAAAAATGGTGAGTTAGCCTTCCTCTTGCACCACAAACGATCTCTCTGCTCTCTAGGGTTTCTCAGGGGTGAAGTGGCCGCAAATGGAGGCCATAAAGGCCTTTAAATAGGGCTCACTTCGCGAGATTTAGGGTTTCACTTTACAGCACGGACTCGCCGAGTCCACGCATCGACTCGTCGAGTACCTCATTAATCCAGACGAGTCTGAGCGCCTACTCGCCGAGTCCCTCCCTAAAACTCAGGGTAAATACTTAAAATAAGATACCTGGGAATCCGGATGTTATAGTTCGTCTTTTTCTTCTTCTCCATTTCATCTTGCATCATCCACTTGATTGGGATTTCGCACCATCAAGTGGATCGGATTGATACGTCAAACAATTTTAGGGACTTACAGTTGGTATCAGAGCTTGGATCGTATCAATCATTTTGGCAAGATCTTGAACGTTTTTGGACTTTTTATTGAAGGATTTGGCATTTTTGGATAGTTTTTGAAGAAACATTGGAGGTTTGTTCTTCGTGTTTTTCATAAAAATTAGTTTTTAATCGAGTTTTGGAGCTAAAAAGGTGAAAAATCATGTTTTTTGGTCGTAACTAGCGAGGGTGTGGCGGCGGTTTTCGGTCAGCAACTAGGGTTTGCGAGGGTTCGCAGCCGAAATCACATTTGCAGTTCAGCAGTTCGCAGCTGAAAACAAGGGTTCACAACCGGTTTGCGGTCCGAAGCGTTTACAGCCGAAGCGAGTTTGCGGTCCGAAGCGTTTACAGCCGAAAGCTGTTTCCGGTGCGAGGTCGCGCACATGTTTGGCCTCGGAAGGTATTCGGTACGAGGTCTCGCACGCGTTTGGTCAGCTGTCCTCGCTTGTGGTCTAGTTCTCGGTCAACAACGAGTATTTAAAAATTTCGGGGTGGAGCAAGGATTGAACTCGGGTCTCCCACACACACAACCCACCGTCTTACCAATCAGTCTAGTATGCCATATGTTTAACATTTTCCCGGTTTAGTTCAAACAGCCTTGCATTTCGGTAACAATTTCGGATTTTTGACATTTTTAGCCCAAAAATCAAATTTTCAAAATTTGAAGTTTCATTTTTGGCCCTAAGCTTTGACTTTTAATTTTTGACTATCAATTTTGACTTTTGACCTTAACAACTGACTTTGACTTCCAAGTTTGACCTTTGACTTTAAACTTTGACTTTATCGTTTAATTTTTCAAGATTTTACGTTTGGCTTTTCGATTTGACTTTTAAGATTGACTTTTTCAAGTTTGACTTTTTAGTTTGACTTGTTAAATTTGACTTTTAAAGTTTGACTTTTGAGGTTTATAGTCAAAGGGTATTTTTGGTAAACAATGAGTTCCTCAAACACCCCAGTCAATGAAGTTTCATGTTCTCAATCTTGTGATTACACCCCGCGTAATCTGAAGTTTCATGTGCAAAGTGCTAAAGGGATCAAGTCATAATTTAAGTTTTGGACAATTGCGATTACACCCTGCGTAATCTGTAGTACGCCCCGCGTACTGAGTTTTTTCCCCATCCCAAGTCATCGAGCGTACGCGACCAACATGCGATTGGAGTTTCAAACTTTTTGTATATTGGGTGTTAAGCTTGGGCTGAGTTTGGGCTTACTTCATTGAAGTGGGGTTTTTCATTAAAGTTTGAAGTAATTTATTGGGTTTGCATTTTAGGGTCTAGGATTGTGGTTTTGGGGCTTAGTGGGCCCAATGGGCTTGAGCCACGTGGTGTCTTTTGGGATTTGGGCCATCTGATATCAACTTTTGGACTAAGGAAATTATTGGGTTTTAGGATAAGGCCCATACGGGGGTTGGACCCAATTTGGAAAAGTGGGCCCTGGTGGATCTTTTGGTTTGTAGGCCTTTTGATGAGAAGTTTGGACCTTAGTCTTGGACCAATCTAGGTGAGGGGTAAAATGATATTTTTACCCCATATTTGGATTATTTGGATATTGGTTTGGAACCCAATTGTTACATGGGTGTTATTTGTCTGATAGCTCGCGGAGTCGTCAGGGCAACATGTAGGGATTCTGTCAGTAAGCTTCAACATTCGAGGTGAGTCTCCTCACTGTACTATGGGTCGAAGGCACTAATGGCGACCTATTTGGTTTATGTATTGTAGGAAGACTAGGAGGTGGCTCCTGGCAATCTGTATGCAAGACCATAGTATAAGCTCTAGCAGCTAATTAGTTAAGTAGTTGTAGATTGTATGCTAGTTGTCTTTGTGATGCTTGCATGGAATACCAGGAGGTGGCTCCTGGCACTTATCTGTAAGACCCAAGGTTTTGGACCTCGGCTTGGCAAGAAGGACCATGATACGGCTCGTGGCATAATGACAAGACTATGGTTGTCACATAACATTTCTTATTGTATGTTGATATGTATGGTTTGTATGACATGTATGGTATGTGGTATTTTGGAAAACTCAATAAGTTTGTGCTTACAGTTTGTGGTTTATGGTTTCAGGTACTTCCAGTTCGAAAGGGAAGGACCTGACTTGATCGCAACGCATACACACGTGATTTTCGCAATTAGTGATTTTGGGAATAAATTCAGATAATTGTTTTATTTTGAAATGCTTCTAAATGTTTGATCAAAGGTTAAATGAGTGTTCTGATTAAAATAAAAATAAAATTTTTACCCTAAAATTTTCGGGATGTTACACAAATGATATTTTATCATATTTCAAGACACTTAATTTCATGTTTCTTTTACACTTGACGTTGGAAATTTTATGTCTAATAGATACCTTGTCAAAGCATATTAAAAAAAAATCAAAATATTTTGGAAGCGTTTTCGTTAGTAAAAGGGACAAAGAAAACATTGCTATTTTTAGAAAATATGGGTTTCCACAAATTTGAAAGAAGGTATGTGATTTTACTAAAATCCTATTGATATTAGTGGCAAAATCCCAAGAGAAAAAACAGAACAAGATAAAACAAATAAAAAAAATCGTCTTAGCAATTTTTTACAAGTTACAACCATATTTGAACCACATGTAAAAAATTTCTAATCGAAAACTTTGCTTTTAAAATACATAATTGGTCCCAAAGAAAGCACACGGATAGCGATCCGCGTCCTCGCTTAACTTATAATCTAAACCGTCCTTTTTTCATTTCAACAATCCAACGGTCAAGGATCGCTCCCGCCGACTGTTCTCCCAAAATTTTCAAACTTCCCACAATCATCGTCAAGAACCAAGCCATTATAAATACAGACATCTTCCTCCCCAAATCTTCACCACAATCAGTCGCTTCTTCACTTCAGCAACAAAATCTTCTCAATCCTCCTCTGTATTCGAAAAAAATGGCAAGAACCAAGCAAACTGCTCGCAAATCGACCGGTGGAAAAGCTCCGAGGAAGCAATTGGCGACAAAAGCCGCCAGGAAGTCAGCACCGGCCACCGGAGGAGTGAAGAAGCCACACAGATTCAGGCCAGGAACCGTTGCTCTAAGGGAGATCCGTAAGTACCAGAAGAGCACCGAGCTCTTGATCCGCAAGCTTCCATTTCAGAGGCTTGTGAGAGAAATCGCTCAAGATTTCAAGACTGATCTGAGGTTCCAGAGCAGTGCAGTTGCTGCACTACAGGAAGCTTCGGAGGCTTATTTGGTTGGTCTGTTTGAGGATACTAACTTGTGTGCCATTCATGCTAAGAGGGTTACAATCATGCCTAAGGATATGCAATTGGCCAGGAGGATCAGAGGCGAGAGGGCTTAGATTTTATGAAAATGGTTAGGGTTTATCTTGTGTTGTAGAAAGTAACATCGGTTGTGGAGGTCATGCTGTTTTGACCTGTTTGTACTCGTTCTAATTAAAACTATCTTGTTATCGTTTTAAAATTTCTACCTTATTCGAATACAACGTTTGATTTAACATATTAAGGTTAATCATATCCTTACTTAACATTATGATAAAAGTTGACAATCTTTGTTAATTAGATTTGCATCTAAAATTAAAAGATATCTAACTAATATGGATACACACACCGAAATCAAGAATCATTGTTTATTTCTAATTTTCTTGGTGCGTATATAATAGTAAGATCTGAGACACCTGTAAGAAGCTATTTACTTCATGAAGCACAGTGGACACAATCGTATATGACTTGAGCTAACAACTATATAGAACAATATAGGAATCCATCCAATAAACTAATACCAAATTTCGTTGTGGAATCATAAACTGCAGTTAAAACACTAAAAAGATTTTAAGAAAAAAAAATAAAGTAACTTCACTTAGGCATTTCATAAATTACCTGATGGCAAGACGTTTATCCCAAACAGTGAATATGTCTTAGCTTCCATAGTGGCGAGGTTGGGGATTAGTATGTATAAAGAAAAACCAATAATTACTAATTAGTCCTTAGAGATTACCCACTTTGTTAGTCAAAAAATCATGACCACCAAGATTAGTGTTTTCCTCCTGAAAGGGTCCATCGCCAACCTCAAGATTCTAGAACTGCAAATGGCAAATGGGATATAAAGATGATGGTGAGTTTGACAGTTAGGTAATATACACATTAATATGCTTCAATTATCAATCATTTTTTAGCTTATTTTTGTCTATGTTTGACTAGTCAAGGTTTAAATGTTGTTGGTTTTGTAAATAAGAATGTATTACAACTATTGAGGTATAGGAGATGTTTTGGATGTTGATTTTTAACATTACAATTCCATTTGGCCATTGTTTTTCTTGTGTCAAGTTGTAATAATATGGTTTCAATTGTTTCTGTTTTGCACTTAAAAAAAAATTAAAAAATAATAATTTGCCTTATATGCGTCAAATGCCTATTAAATTCAAGATGAAGGTATTTTTACTAAAATTCAAGATGATAACCCCGACATTTTTTTTAATTGTTATTTCAGAATTTAGTTTAAGTTTTTCTAAGGATAATGTAATATCGATATCAAAATGGCATAATTGTTCATTCGTACCCACATATAAGTCTAATTTCTAAAGTGATCAAGGCTAGTAACTTAAATAGAAAATGACAATATTATGTGAAAGAGAAATTAAATATCTTTTTATATTTTATTCTTATTAATCCTCGTACTATATCATATATTGACATTGTCTGTGATTATGAGAAAAATATCACCCATACTGAGTATTTATATTATAACTGATATATATAGTAGACGGGTACAACAATAAAATACAAAGCCTAAACTAAAATAAGATTGTTGTGGGCTAGGCCTGTGCAGAAGATGGGCTATTGGGCTAACATCCCCCCTCAAGCGAAGCGTTGGGTTAAGACCAACTCAAAGCTTGGAACGAAAAAACATAAACAATGGTTGTGACAGTCCTTTGGTAAAGATATCAACAACCGGCAAGTGAGATGAGGCAAATTGAACTTTGAGCTTTCCACTAGCGACCTGTTCTCGAACAAAATGGTAGTCAATGTCGATATGCTTGGCACGCTTGTGAGCTACAGGATTTTGAGACAAGAAGATGGCACTTTTGTTGTCACATAATAACAAAGGAGAGATTGGGAGTTGAACACACAAATCACGAAGAAGATGAACAAGCCATGCCACTTCAGAAGCTGTATTTGCAAGATCCTGGTATTCTGACTCACAACTGGAACGGGAGACAGTCGGTTGCTTCTTTGCACTCCAAGAGACCAAATTAGGGCCCAGAAATATAACATAACCGTATGTGGATCTTCGAGTCTCTAGACAACGAGCCCAATCAGCATCAGAGAAGCCGTGGACAGTTGGAAAATCAGCGGAGCGACCAAATTTTAGACCACAGTGGATCGTACCCTTCACGTATCGTAAGATGCTTTTAACAGCCAAGAAGTGAGTGTCTGTAGGTGCTTGAAGGAACTGACTGACCGAATTCACAGCAAAGGATAAATCAGGGCGTGTGATGGTTAAGTATTATAGAGCCCCCACAAGAGACCGATAGAGCGTAGGGTCACGAAACGGCTGTCCTTGGTTGTTGTGAAGTTGGGAACCGGCTGCCCAGGGAGTGGCTACTGGTTTTGAAGAGAGCATTTGAGTCCGATCAAGAATTTCTCTGACATATTTTGCTTGACCAAGAAAGAGATCGTCTGAAGTGTGTGTGACCTCAAGACCGAGAAAATAACTTAAACGACCCAAATCTTTAATTGAAAATTCTTTGTCAGTTCGTTGAATGAAAGAACGAAGCAAGCCGGAGTCATTACCAGTAACAATGATGTCATCTACATAGACGAATAGATAAAGGAGAGTAGGGCCACGAGCATAAATGAACAAAGAAGTATCAACTTGGGTGCAACGAAAACCAAGTTGAGTAAGATAGGCATTGAACCTAGTAAACCAGGCACGGGGAGCCTGCTTAAGTCCGTATAAAGCCTTTCGAAGGCAACAAACATGATCAGGTAACCGTGGGTCAATATAACCAGGTGGCTGCTCCATAAATACCGGTTGGTCCAAGTGACCATTTAAGAAAGCATTTTTAACGTCAAGCTGGTGAAGGGGCCAATTTCGTTGAATTGCTAAAGCAAGAACAGTCCTAACAGTAGCAACTTTGACTACAGGGCTAAAGGTATGAGTGTAATCGAACCCAGGAAGCTGAGAGAAACCTTGAGCAACCAACCGGGCTTTGAGACGATCAATGGTTCCATCGGAAAGATACTTAGTGCGATAGACCCACTTGGAACCCACGACGTTGACACCGGTAGGACGAGGAACAAGTTGCCATGTTTGGTTGTCTTTTAGTGTCTGTAATTCTTCATCCATAGCTGCAACCCAACCTGTATGTTTTGAGGCAGACTTGATGCCTTTGGGTTCTGACTGGACCAGTAAAGCAGCAAGTAGGCAGTGTGGCTCGTAATCTGGAAAAAGCCTAGGCTTGAATATACCAGCACGTGATCTGGTTCGCATGGGGTGACGAGAGCCAACTGGTTCCAAATTTGTATTCTCAGTTTCAATAGCTGGAGAAACATGAGAGGAGGTCGCAGTAGATTCTGATGACCCAAAAATAGGAGTAACATCAGTAGGAGATGTGCAAATATGACACGGGCCTGTCGACGGAGATGTGTCCGGCAGTTGGGATGAACCAGGTTGTAAAGAATCATCATGTAGAGGATCTTGGAAAATCGAAACATCTAATATAGATGGATTTGTAGAGTCGTTTGTACCCGTAGCATATGGAAAAAATTCTCGTCAAATTGAGCATGACGAGAGATATAAATACGACCGATAGTCTTATCCAAGCAACGAGAACCTTTGTGATGAGAGCTGTAACCTAAAAAGATGCAAGGTATCGTGCGCGGGGAGAATTTGTTTGGCACAGTAGCTCGTAAACATGGATATACTCGACAACCAAAAGGATGAAAAACCGAATAATCTGGTGTGGAATGAAATACCATTTCAAAAGGTGATTTACCCCTAAGAAGCAAAGAAGGTAACCGGTTAATAGTAAAGACACTAGCTTGAAATGCTTCAACCCAATAAGTAAGCGGGACAGAAGCATGAAAGGCTAGAGCTAAACCAGTTTCTGTAATATGTCTATGCTTGCGCTCGGCTCTACCATTTTGAGCAGAAGTGGAAGGACATGATATTTGATGATGAAGACCGCACTTCAAGAAATGTAACTGAATAGAGTTGGGGGTAAACTCGGTTCCACCATTAGACTAGAAAACTTTAAGTTTACGTGAGAATTGATTTTCCACTAAAGCTTGAAATTTAAGAAAAATGCCATAAAATTCTGACTTTTGGTGCATAGCATAAAACCACGTAAAGCGCAAATAATCATCTACAAAAATAGCATAATAACGATAACCATAAATAGAAGAAATTGGTGCAGCACCCCATAAATCACAATGTACTAAATCAAGTACATGAACAACACGTTTATCATTATTAGAGAAAGGCAATCTCTTACTTTTGGCTAATTGACAAGACTGACAAATAGCTGGTTTAGGTAAAAGAGATGTAACAGAAACTAGTCCTTATTTATTAAGCAAACTGACAATATCATAACCAACATGGCCCAAACGAGTATGACAAAGTTCAAAAGATGCTCGAAGACGTCGACTTTTGAGCTCAGTAATGAATGCCGCCGCACACCGTTCAAGAATGTAAAGACCAAACTCACGCCGGCCTCTTCCCACGATCATCCCTGTTTACTTGTGCTGAATAAAAAAGGAAATGTCATCAAATAAAACAGTAACGGGTAAGTCACGGGTTAGTTTACTGATAGAGAGAAGATTTTTAGTAATCTGAGGTACAACTAATACGTCCCGTAACAACAAATCTCAAGAAAGAGAACATGACCCAATATGTGAGATAGATAGACGGTGACCATTTCCAACAAAAACTTGATTATTACCGTTGTATGGAGTGGCCGAGTCAAGTTGAAAAGAAGTAGAAGTCATATGAGACGAAGCTCCTGAGTCCATGTACCAGTCAGATGCATCAGTGGAGTGAAGATTCATGGCATTGAAAGCAGAAGCTAAATGAGCTTGAGCGGGAGGAGTTGATGAACGTGAATAAAGATCAGGGCAATCAGCGGCGTAATGACCATCTACTTTACAGATTTGACAGCGAGGAACATAAGGGCGTCGATTATTACGACGACTTTGATTGGAGTGATGAGAAGAGTCACGACCAGAAGAAGCAGGGCGAGAGCCTCCTGAATTACCATGTTGGCGACCTCCACGCTGATTGTTCTGTGATGTGTGACTCCCATGTGCTGTAAATGCCACCGGGGTTGGGGAAGGGTCTTCCAAAGACTTGTGGAAGAGAGAATAACTCTCAGCTTCAGAGATAACATCACGCAAGGCAAGAGGAGGAGTAAGACGTATCTGTGAGAATGAGAAGGTAGAGAACATAGGGCCAAGACCACGACAATACCAATGTAGTTTACTGGTTTTAGAAACGGGTGAGTCGATAGCAGCTAGTTGTTCACAGTAGGAACGAAATTTAGTGCTATAAACAGTAACATACTCATTACCTCTGCGCAGATGCTGTAACTCATCATTGAGTTGAATTTCACGAGTTTTAGAGCGTAAAGAATAGGCCTTCTGTAAAGCCGACCATACTTCAGCAACACTCTTGCGCCCTAAAGTTTCAGCCATGGATTCCTCAGTTAATGAGGACAGAAGAAGACTGTGCAAGCGACGATCTTGAGAAAGCCAATCCTTATGGACTTTTTGAATGGCTGCATCAGAAGAGGAAGATGGCGGCATGGGCACAGTACCATCAAGATAACCAAACAGATCTTAAGAAGTAAGAAGAGTTTGCACTTGATTTCGCCATAGAAAGTTGTAACAACGTGAATTTCCAAAACAATTTTTCATTTTAAAAACAATCTTTCATTCATAGAATATCATAGTAATCCAATGTATCATATGTTATCACAATAAACAAATCCCAAGATCCTCAAATACATAAATCCTCTCAGTGTGTACGGATCATGCCGGCGCCTTCCCGCGATCCTCGCTAGTACCTGAAACACATAACACAACAACTGTAAGCATAAATGCTTAGTGAGTTCCCCAAAATACCACATGCAACACATACGCCACTCAAGGCTACAATACGACCTTCCGGTCGATGTGTCTCAGCGGGACCCTCCAGTCCCGTAGCTCGTTGGACCCTCTGGTCCGGTCATAGCTCGTCGGACCCTTCGGTCCAATTTGTGTCGTTGGACCCTTCGGTCCGGTCTACATCGTTGGACCCTCCGGTCCGGTCTATACAACACATAGCATACATATATCACAATGCACATAATCTCATACACATAGCACACAAGACCCTCCGGTCTACACATAAATACCACTCTAGGTAAGGTATAGTGAGAAGACGCACCTCGGGTATCTCGGATGATCTCGCTCACGAATATACTGATCTAGCCCCCGCCTAATCACATACACAATATCCTCGAATAAATAATGGCTCTCAAAGGCTAGATTAAATCCCCTTCTACGATCCCTCAGAAGGGTAAAAGACCATTTTATCCCTCCTTGACCCAAAAGTCCAAATGTTGACCGAAACCCTAAAAGTCAACGAAAGTCAACGGTCAACATTGACCGGACTCGCCGAGTGCACTAGAGTGACTCGGCGAGTACATGCCTGTCCTCCTCGCCCCTGTCCTCACTTGACTCGCTGAGTCAACCCTATACTCCACGGGTCGCCACAGGTCGCGAGTCGCGGGGCAACCCGACTCGACTCGTCGAGTCCCTTATGGGCTCGGTGAGTTCCTCCCATGAAAACTCTCAAAATATCTCTTGAGGTCAGATCTGCTTCACCAACTAACATATCTACCCTTCAAATGATCAAATGTCACGTAAAGGTGCAACCTTTACGTGCATGCAACCCACCATAAGTCATAAATGGAGAAATAACTCTAGAAATGGCAACCTAGTCTCCAATCTTTCATTTGCTTGCATAAAGCTGAGGGCTAGTGACTCTATGGACCTCTCATGGTCCAGATCTGATGCTATTAACACAAAGGGGACCTCATACTCACTAGATCTTACATGAAATGGGGGTAAAAGCCCTAAAATCATGAACTCTATCATATCAACATGAAATAGACAGGATTATACCTCCAGAGATGAAATCTGAAGGTGATTAGCCCAGATCCAAGCCCCCCTTACGCTCCAGATTGGTGCTTCCTTCTTCCTTCTAGCAAAACTACACCAAAAGTGATGTTTTAGCCTCTTCTTGCCCTTAAACTCACCCACTCTCTCTCTAGGGTTTCTCTGGAATGAAGTGGCCGCAAATGGAGGCCATAAAGGCCTTTAAATAGGGCCCCAAACCCCGAGAATTAGGGTTTCATTTTACAGCGCGGACTCGTCGAGTCCACGCATCGACTCGTCGAGTCCACGCATCGACTCGTCGAGTCCATTCATTAAATCCAGTCATCATTCGCGGTCCTACTCGACGAGTCTACGACTCGACTCGTTGAGTCCCTCTCTTTTCTAAAAAATAAAAGATAAAATATAATACGTGGAATTCCGGATGTTACAATTCTCCCCCGCTAGAATCAGACTTCGTCCTCGAAGTCTTGCTCCACAAACAACTCTGGATGCTGCTCACGCATCAGTAACTCCGGCTCCCAAGTCAGCTCGGACCCCCTCCGATGTTGCCACTGGACCTGCACCAGGGACACCTCCTTGTTCCTCAGAACCTTGATCTTCCGATCCCGGATCGCGACTGGCCTCTCATGTTAGAACAAAGTTCTATTAGGATCGTTAGATTCTATGCAAGCAAACAGTTAAGAATGTAATCAAGAACACAAGAATGGCTTTGAATATGTCGTATGATTAATACTTCAACACCTCAGAAGAGCTCGATTAAGAACTTCGATTGTAGAGGCGTTTAGGGTTACAAACAATGAACGTAATAATCAACATCGTCTAATGCATACATGCATGCATATTTATAGTATAACCCTATCAGATAAACACGGATGGACATGCCCAATCCGGATACAAAACAAAAAGCCCAAGACGCAACACAATTAGACTCAACATCTCAGCATAATTATGGCTCGCATCCACCTGAATATCCTCCAGCGGTACCACCATCGACTCGTCGGCTATGCACTTCCTCAACTGAGATACGTGGAAGGTATCATGAATCTGGCTCAACTCCGCAGGTAGCTCCAATCGATATGCTACTCCGCCTACCCTCGCAGTCACCCTGAACGGACCGATGTACCGGGGCCCCAACTTTCCCCTCTTCCTGAATCGGATCACTCCTTTCCAAGGAAATACCTTTAGGAGTACGAAATCTCCCACCTGGAACTCAATCTCGGATCGTCGCCTATCCGCATAACTCTTCTGGCGACTCTGAGCAGTCAATAACCTCTGTCTAACCTGCTGTATCTGCTCTGTATCTGTGCTACCCATCACACGCTGCCCTACCTCTCCCCAGCAAATGGGAGTCCGACACCTCCTCCCATACAACAACTCGAAGGGAGGCATACCAATGCTCGAATGGTGGCTGTTGTTATAGGAAAACTCAGCCAATGGTAGGTATGTGTCCCAGCTCCCTCCGAAGTCCAACACACATGCTCGAAGCATGTCCTCGAGCGTCTGAATCGTCCGCTCACTCTGTCCGTCCGTCCGTGGGTGGTATGCGGTGCTGAAATGCAGCCTCGTACCCAACTCCTCATGGAATTTCTTCCAGAACCTGGAAGTGAAACGTACATCTCGATCCGACACAATCGAGATCGGCACCCCATACCACGATACCACCTCCCTCACATACAACTCTGCCATCCTCTCGGCAGAAGAGCTCTCACTGATAGCATGAAAATGCGCGCTCTTCGTCAGCCGGTCGACGATCACCCAAATTGCATCGACACCCCGAGCGGTCCTCGACAATTTAGTGATAAAATCCATAGAAATATGTTCCCACTTCCATTGGAGAACCTCAAGTGGCTGCAACTTGCCATGCGGACGCTGGTGCTCGGCCTTAACCCTAAGACAGGTCAACCACCTCTCAACAAACCATGCTACATCCCTCTTCATACAGGGCCACCAATAGTCCCTCTTCAGGTCCAAATACATCTTAGTGGCCCCGGGATGGATCGAGAACCTCGATCGGTGCGCCTCCTCCATCAAAGTGGCGCGTGTCCCACCTGCATACGGCACCCAAATCCGTCCCTGATAGGTCATCAACCCACGACTATCGGTAACAAACTCAGGTACCTGTCCAATCACCCGCTCCGATGTTGCCACTGGACCTACACCAGGGACACCTCCTTGTTCCTCAGAACCTTGATCTTCCGATCCCGGATCGCGACTGGCCTCTCATGTTAGAACAAAGTTCTATTAGGATCGTTAGATTCTATGCAAGCAAACAGTTAAGAATGTAATCAAGAACACAAGAATGGCTTTGAATATGTCGTATGATTAATACTTCAACACCTCAGAAGAGCTCGATTAAGGACTTCGATTGTAGAGGCGTTTAGGGTTACAAACAATGAACGTAATAATCAACATCGTCTAATGCATACATGCATGCATATTTATAGTATAACCCTATCAGATAAACACGGATGGACAGGCCCAATCCGGATACAAAACAAAAAGCCCAAGACGCAACACAATTAGACTCAACAATCTCCCCCTTTGCGTCAATGGGACCGAAAGCTCACTTCGGTTGAGCTGCAGAAGTCTTCTTTATTGTTTTGAACACCTTCAGAATGATAGCCAACAAATGATGACGGAACGTTATGTACCACCGAAGCATGTCAGTAAAATTCTTCTTGTCAGCCTCTGAGTTCTGCTTGCACCGATGTATAATGTTGATGATGTGCTCCAAGCAGTCAGTTGAAAATAAATGTTTATCAACAAGAGCGAACAAAAATTTGTGAGCTTCGCCTTTTGTAAACATCATAGTGAGATGTTTTGAATCTATTTGGCCCATCTTCATCTTATTCACATCTCCTGGTTTTGATGTTGGCTTGATGGTCGGTTTCTTGTTCATTACTTTCGCTATCTCTTGATCCATAGCTGCAACCTCATGGATGTAAGAAGCCAACATCCTCTTCAAGTGCTCCAAAATAGGTTCATATTCCCTCGGATTTGTAAGCAGAATATTGAACAATAAAATCCAATCATGAAGGTTTAGATTCGGAAGATCTGCTAGAGATATAATCGACACCGAGTTTGCAGAACATCGTGTGATTTTGAAATTGACATTTACAAATCTCCCTGCAGACGTAGGTTTCAGTACCTTGACAGTGATTATTTTCTGTGCGCTCCATGTCATGTACTGAGGTTGTCCATACTTCAGATAGAAATCAATAAGCTCTCGGTCAACCTTTGGATGAGGAAAAGGAACCTCAGCAGTCGAATCAAAGCAGTGAAACGTGAACGCTTTTCGTGTGATTGGCATATCGAACTGCGAGTCCTTAGAATTATCACAGTCAAACGAAGCAACAGGTTCCAACCAATAAACACTTGGAAACTCTATAACTTGATTGATAAGTGCCTCTTTAGTCCATAAGGGAAACAAGGCCTTCTTGCAGTTCAAGGCTTCTTCTTCTTCCCTGTTTCTCCTTTCCCTCTCCTCTGCTTCCCTTGCAACCTTCAAGGTTTCATCAAGCTCTTTATCTCTCTTCTTTCGCTTGAGAGCCTCAACAATAGTTTCATCAGATTCATCATTTCTATCATCATCAATCTCCTTTTCTTGTGGACCAGAACCTGAAGCTAAATTATCCTTCAGTTCG